GCATGAGAAATAACAATTTCTCACGTAATATGCCATTCATGAACTGATCAATACATAAAGTAAATGTCTAAAAAATGAAATCTTGACTTTCCCATGGACTTTTTGCAAAATTACCAAAATATCCCAAAAATATCTCTCATTTTCTTCTCCATTAAGTCTTGGCCGGCCACCTTGCATGCCACATGGCTCAATCTCAGCCTTTCATCCAATTTTTCACTTTTAATCTCAATCATTGATCATTTAATAATTATCCTATTTTAGTTTAGTTTAATTCCTATCCGGTATGCGTTTTATACGTGTTTTTCAGACAGATGGTCAATGATAAGTGCATGAAAATGCACCCTAAATACTGCTTTTGATTTATATAATATTAAAATATTTAAGCTTTAATTAAACAATTCCATTATTTTTATTCAAAATATTTTTCATTGGAATTTGTCTAGTTGTTGCTTAATTATTTGCAGATAAAAGCAGTGTAAAAAGCTACAAAAGAAGAAGCCATGAAAGCAATATTTTCAACCAATCCGAGCCACCAAGCTGGGCCATGTAGAGAGAGAGCCGCGTGAGCCGAAGCCACAAGCCAATTTCTGCGTGGGCCCCAGCTCCCCTGCCTTCCCCACTCCACCTCGCGCACCTCACCAGCGTGCAAACATCCTAGGGCGCGTGTTCTTCCTCTGCGCGATCTCCAGCGCATCCAAGCTCTCTTCGGAGTGGGTCCCACGCCTGCAATGCTAGCTCCATCCGTTCTCTCCGCACACGCCAACTGTCCTAGTGGGTCCCAGTTGTCCTCCACTCTGACTCCGCGCTAGCACACTCCAACCACTCCGAGCGCGACACGTGGCGAACTGACTCCAGCTTCCAACCGTAATGCGACACTTGTCCCCTTTGATGCTGAATCTGAATTTCTTTCCCAAAAATCAGTGCAAATTACCGGATTTCTTCCCCAAATTATATATATGATTTCTCCTAATTTATGTGTAATTTTATTTTGTTTCCTTTTTCTTTGTAATTTTCTATTTTTATTATTTATTTCCTTATTTGACAGGCATCCTCTAAACACTATAAATAAAAGGGTTAGCCTAAGGTTTTTTGTAAGCTTTTAATATTCAGTTTTCTGTCGTCTTGCTGGCAGTCTCATATTTTCTCTCTAGAACTTGTGAGAATGTTTTGCAAGCTAGGCTAGAGTTCTCTTGGTGAGGTTAGAGATGAACTTTTGTTGAGTGACCCAATTTGAGGTTTTAATTCATTGTGTTGTAAACTTCAACATCCAAATGAATTAAATCTCATCTATTTTTCTTTTACTTTTCAAAATATTGTGTGCCAATTTTTATATAAGTTTAGTCACGCTTTTCTTATGTAATTTTGTCACGCATTGTTTTGTTATTCAAATTATTTTACAAATTGTCTTTTACTACAATATTGTCAAATTGATATATTGTCGATTTTGGATAACTTGTAATAATAATATTTTCGGAGTTAACATAGAGATTTAATTTATTCGATTCTTTTATTTTGTGAATCAAAATTTGAATTGGTGAACGAAGCATTAGGGATTCTCGACACCTTACCATTTTTACTACTGAATTTTCTCCATACAAATCTTCTTCTTTTTATTTTATTTACAACAAAAATCTCTAAAACTCTTCTTTTTCTTTAATTTACTTGTTATTTATTTTTCTCTAACGCTCTTAGCTAATCTTTCTTGTTTATTTTGTTACCTCTCTGTGGATACAACATCCCTTCTGTACTACAATTGTTCACTTGTGAACATCACTTTTGGGCGTTAATCAGTCAACTTAGTCAACCTTGACCATTCTTGACTAACTTTTTGAGGGCGACGTTTTGGTCGACTCTTTGTCAACAAATTTTGACTTGGTCAACTCAAATCAGTCGAAACCCTAATTTTCTCAGTTCGGCCTTCCGAACCCCTTTTTCGTATGTTTTTCGTTCTAATTGTTTCTAAAACCCTAGAATTTATGTCTTTCAATTCTTTTCTATTTCTTAAACTTATCATTCATGTGTTTACCCACTTGCGGGCTTAACACAACATTCCATACTTCTTTCTTAAATACAGTCTAAAAATCGGTAACTGCATCGTAGTTCAAAAATTTTTGAACTTTAGCTTATAACTTATTATTCCATACTTATATCAACAAATACTTATCATAAAAGTATTTATATTAATGATACAAAGAATTCTAGGAAATATTGTCATATACAATAATTTTGACAAATTTCTCGGTCATGACATAATGGAATGGTGTTATCTACATTATTAATATAAAGGGATGTTGAATGAGTGTATTATGCATAATGAGATTATGTTTAACTGAGACACATATACGATTTAAATTTCTGATAATTTCCACTATAAGTATAGAAATTCAAATTGAGTTTACTAATGGCCATAGATGAAACGATCTTAATCTTGAGTTATTAGCATACTACTATATATGGATTTGTGTCTTTTGACTTACTCGGTACAGATTTTGAGATTCTAAATCTTATTCATTGTATCTTAGAGACATGATAAAGTGAGTAGCTGGGAATGTTAATATATAAGATGGAATTCATTCCTTCTTAAGAAAGAAGCAGATAGATAATTCTCTTAAGAGTTGATTCAGTACTTTGACTAGTAGGAGCTCTGATTCATGAATTTGTTTTATGAATCACTATCCATTAGAGAATCAATAGTACTCAAGGATAAAGATGTAATTAGAGGGTTTAACGGATTTCACTAGCTCTAATTATGAATTATTTAAGGAGGATTGAAATATATGTAGTGACTATATCAAATGGACACTTCAAGTTCTTGGAAGTAAATTATGTCTATAATTTCGAGAGCACAATTCTAAGTTTTTAGTGCAGTAACTTTTGGAATTAATAGGATTAATTGATTAATTAATTAAAGAGTTTAATTAATTATTAATTTTATTGGAGCTTCGAATTATAGGTCCATGAGTCCCCGCATCATTCGTATAATATTTACAAAACAAAGAAAATTATTGAGATTTAATATGACTCGAAATAAATAATGTGGTTATTTAATTAAATTAATGATTGAATTATTGGGATTTGGTTGTTTTCTCTCCAAGTTATCCGGTTTACTTGTTTGACAAGTTTTCCAATCAAATTCAAAATGAAATTGAAGTTTGACTTTATTTAGTTTTCAATTTCAGCTAAAATTGAAAACTGGATAAAATGAGAAATTGATCTCATCCTCCTGCCTGATATTTGCGCCAACCACATGGAGATATCCCAATGGTGTGGCCGGCCATAGTAGATAAGGATGGGCGAGAATTTTATTTTCAAAATTAAATGGGAAACTACATTTTAAATGAGATTTAAAATAAAGTAATAACCAATTGTCTATTCCTTTGCCTTCAAGTTAAAGCAAATGGGTCCTCCTAGGATAGGAGACAATAGAAAATTAGAGAACACAATTTTTCTCCCTTCCCTTATGAGATAGGAGTGTAAAATAGCTGTTACGGGTGTATACTATTCTTTTTTACAGTGCGTAACATTTTAGTGACAGCCATGTAACTAGAGAGAAAAAGAGAAGAAAAGTAATTCCATTCTCGGTTCCCCCTCACACATGTGTTGATATTGGTGGAAGAGAAAATTAGTGAGTGATCAATCCTATAATTCTGAATTAGAGCCCACACTCTAGGTCTTGTAGGTATCAAGGACTAGACAAGAAAGATTCATGCCTCTTTCATTTCACCGATTCGAGTTTTTAGTTTTAAGTTTCTACAGTAAAAAGCTCTCAGAAAATGTCACATCTAACTTTTTCTACTACAGTGAAAAGCTCTCAGAAAATGTCACATCTCAACTCGAATCCGCGAAGTGAACGAGGCCTCAGGTTTTCCTAAAAAGTTTGGATTGAGGATTGTTCGTGGTCAAAAATATCAAGTTATCGACCTAATTGTTCACTAGGTAAATAAATTAATTAGATTAATTTATTCGTGTATAAATTAATATATTCATAGCGTGTTTTGAAAGTTTTATAAAAAAAAAATTATACACGATCCGCTAGACACACGCTTCTGCATTCAAAATTATTTTGAAAACCAACTATCAACTCATCCATTTGAGTTGCCTAAGGATTTAGCAGCTTGTTTCATACGCTAAATGCAACGTGATTTCCTACGAAAGTGGATTACTTTAAGATTTCTTTTTTGTTTTGAGAAAATCACTACAACAAATATCAGTATCAGTAGCTGACTAAAAACGCTATTAGTCACTAGCAATAGCATTTTGTGGAGCGCTAGGACATCAGACGCTAGTAAAAGTCCTAAGAAAACATAGTGTTCTAAGAGAATTATGAAAAGCGCGATAGAATTGAGGTATTATAGCGTTTAAGACAAATTATTTTCAATCTCTTAAGCTATTTAACATGGTTACGATACAGATTAATAGCTTTTTTCCTTGTCATGTTCATACTCTTGTAACTTTTTAAAATTATTATTGATATCCTTTTGAATTCATTCAAATAGATGGTGATTCCGAGCAACATCTTATATCTAAATAGGAACATTCAAATTAAAACATAAAAACATTCAACATATCAATTATTATCAGTATCATCCAAGTTGGCAATAAAATTATGTCTACAACATAATTCATACAATGTTCAAAACCTTAACATTCAAAACAAGTAAAGAAAACAGAGGAATAGCTGGAGATATCGAAGTATCCAAAACGTCTAACTAAGTGAAATGGTGAAGTAAATCCTTCCATCTTGGCAAAATGCTTCAACAAAAAATTCATCTCCACCGTTTAACCTGTAAGAAAGTGATCCACTATCAAAAACAATAATCAAACTCAACTAAAACTTCCATCATTTAACCTATAAATAAAGCAAGGACTAGTTACATCATTCACAACTACGTAGCCACATCCACATATGTTTTGCAGTGAGTTAGAGGAAACATGGCTTCAATGATGCACTAGACAAAAATTTAATGTAAAACTTGTAAGACAGAGAGTATCTTACATGTATTGGTATGTAGATAGTTGTAGAAAGCATAAGTCTTCATTGCCTACATTTAAACCCGAAGAGTATAAAAAATTACTATCACAATCATATAATGTTTTGGTTTAAACAAATTTGCAGCTAGTAGAGATTTTTCATACCCCTTTAAAATTTTATCAGCAGGCCATGCCACATTACTTGAAATTGCTTCTTCAAAGGTACTCATCTCACTTTTTGGCCTCCACAAGAAAGCGTCCGGTTGTTTTGCTCGAACTACTTGCATTCTACAAGGAGAAATCTTAGGTTCACAGCATTGAAAGAAAATTCTTCAAGATTTTATAAAATAAGAAGGATAATTATGAATGTACCATGTCTTCAATCAAGTGAGCATATCCTTTGCTGTTGGTTGTATGTGGAAGTAGTTTCTTCATCATGTTTTGATACTTTTGACTCCTTTCCTAGTAACAAAAAAAATTAAAGAAAGCACCATATGCATAAATATGGACTACATATTAGAATTATCAATGAGAGAAAATAATAGGTTTTTAAGTTAATTATACCTGAAAAGCTGCACTTGTTTTCTCCCTTACAAAAGCTTTCCACTCTGCAACTGATTTGATATTATCAGGCTTCAATTTTAGTCTTTCTTCTTTGGTTTTGGCTTTCTTAACTTGGTAAAGTAATCTTGATTTTAAGGCCCTCCAAATTGCACCCATGTTCCCAAAGATTTGATGCTTCTGTCATTGTTTATCCACTTTATATCTTGCCTACAATACAACAAAAATATCGTAATTGTCAAATAAGTGTTAGTATAAGATATATACTATAATGCACTCTCGTACAGTCATAAGCATACCCGGATAGCTTTCCAAAGTACTTCTTTCATCCCTGGCTGTAACATCATCAATCGACTTCATAATTAACATAATGCTAAATTAATTATCACATTTATAACTAAGAAATAAAATTTATTAGAACATCAATTTCAAATAAAAAAAACTAATAATGTGGATCAAGTAGATAAATAACTTAATACTATACTAAAAAATCTAATTGAAACATCACTCAGCACATACATCAAAAGTTGAAAGCAATTCTTAGGAAGACAAGAATGCAAACAATAGCATACACTGGGAAAGGAAATTGACATCAATACATGGTTGAAAAGATCAAACATTGAAATCTGAAAGGAAATTGACATCAATACATTGGCCACTAAGGTGCTTGTGAACAGCCACTAAGGTGCCTAATTTCAGATTTTGACCAATTCTTTTCCGTAAAATCAAGACAATCTGACTTATTTTCAAGAAATTTAAAATCAACAATCAAGATATTTAAAATCTGATTTCTTTTCACGCACATTGTTCGCATAAACACAACAAAAGCTTATGTTCTGTACAGGAATACTAAATTTTATAACCTACAAATTGGGGGTTTTCTTGTGCAACTAACGAATTTCAAAGTAAAAAACAAATCATCACAACATAATTGATGCAACTAAGAGAATCGAAACAAAAGTAGAGTAGAAAATTGTGATTCGACGAGAACAAGCCGAACAAAATCAAGCCATACCTTGGTATCTTCTTTCAAAACCCAAACTTGTACAGAGAAACGAAGAGAAGAACGACCCAACCTTATACATAGCAACGAAGAGAATAACGACCCAAACTTCAATAGATCAAAGACCCAAATTTTGAATGAGGGGAGTGTTGAACTTCAACAGATGCGCGATTAATTTGAGGAGAAAGAAGCCGAAACAATCAAGCCATACCTTCATTACAGCAACATCAAAACCCTAACTTTTACAGACAAATGAAGAGAAGAACGACCCAATTAGTGAATTCAATATTTAAATGCATTCTTTTAAAAATTTTATATTTTACTCTTGATTAATACCCCTTTGATTAATATAATTTTTTAATTAAAAGATATTAATCAAGTGTGATAGGTAAAAATTCAAGACCCATACATTTTAAAGTGTATTTGTCGCTTTTCTCTTTTTGTTTTTGTTGTTGTTTAAGTTTAGTTTTTTCTGGAGGGACTAGCAATCTAGGTTTGGAAATGTTAGGTGCTCATAAATTAAATACATATTTTTCCCTTTTTATAAGTTATTTTTATTTCTGGATTGTGTTTAATTATTATATATTTTCTAGGGAGAAAGAAATAAAAAACATTTAAAGGAATTAATTGAAGTAAGTGTAAGGTTTTAAAAATATTTGTAATAAATAGCACTAGGTAAATTATTTGTTTACTACTACTAAATAGATTATTTACCTAGTAAATTATTTACTACTATTTATTTCAAATATTTTAAAATCTTGCTATTTGCTTACTTTAGCCTTGTAAAAAATACTACTTACTACAATTTTTTTCTATTTATTAGAAGAGAAAATTGCTAACTTTACTTTTAAAATGTATGGGTCTTAATTTTTATCTCTTACTTTTAATTAATACCTTCTAATTAATCTAGTTATTTCACTAAAAATAATATTAATTAAGAGTAAAGGATAAAAATCGAAACTCATATTGTAGTGTTGGAACTTTGAGCCGGCCTGAGGCCCGAATTTTTTGAGATCGGCGGGCAGGCCCAATTGCCGGCCCGTCCAACAATAAATTTTCGAGCTCAGGCTCAGGCATCCCAAAAATGGACACCACACCGGAGCCCGCCGCCGTATTGTCACCGTCCGTCAGAATTTTTTTGAATTTTTCCGGCCAGGCCCGAATTGTTCGATTTGCTCAAACTACCCAACTTGTCCAAAGCCCAAAAACCCGACCAATGGACAAAATTTTGACCGTTAGAGCCCAACCCAACCCGAAGCCCGAAAAGCCCGGCCCCAACGGCTAGTTTTTTGACCGTTGCCTAAATTTCTGCCCAAACCCGCCTGAACCCGACCCGCCGAAAACAAAAGTAGCCGTTGGATCCAAATTTGGAGGAAAAAAATCAATTTTTTAACCCAAAAAATTTCCCTATAAATACCCCTCATCCCCCACACATTTTCCTCACTCAAACTCTCTCAATTCCTGTCAATTTCTCTCAATCTCTCTCAATTTCTCTCAATTTTTCTCAATCTCTCAAATCTCTCTCACAATTTTTCTAAAAACTATCACATTATCCTAAAGCTTTCTCTCTCAAGTTGCTCTTATTTTTTTATAACAGATTCTTTTAGTTATAGTGGTATTCCCGTTGATGCCCAACACAACGTGGAAGAAGGGCAATTTCCCACTAATGAATTTGTTATGCAGGAATCTAATAATCTAAGCCCTGGTGGGCGTACGGGAGGTCGTGGTCGCAATGGTGGTGGGTGTGGAGAATCGGCGAGTGCAAGTCCGACTGCATCTGCAAGTGTTGCAACCTCCAGGAGGAAATGCAAGCGCACCTCAACAGTTTGGGATCACTTCGACACAATTGAGGAGATAGACAATGAAGGTAACACTAAACATATAGCTCAGTGTAAATATTGTTTATCTAAATTACAAGGTGATACAATTCACGACACCACACACTTGAGAAGACACTCTGAAAAGTGTCTTCAAAAGCTTAGCCAGTCCGGCGGAGCCGAACTCCGTCAAACACAATTGTCTTTTGATCGCGCAACCAGTGGTCTAACCACTTGGAAATACGATCTGCAAGTAGATCGTATGGAAGTTGGGCGAATGATAGCTGCATTAGATCAACCACTTAGTTTTGTAGAGCATCCTAATTGGCAATGATATATTAAGGTTGTACATAATCCTAATGCACAGTTCACTTCAAAACTACTCTTAGGAAAGATTAATTAAAATTATTTAAAAAAGAAAAGAAGCATTAATAAACCTTTTACACTCGACTAGCGAGTGTGTTACGTTCACGGCAGATATTTGGTCTGCCTTGCTAATAAAGATTATTTAGTTGTAACCGGACATTACTTTAAAGGATTTAATTTAAATAAGAGAATATTAGGAGTAGGACATATAGAGACATATGATTGGCAAATTATTGAAGTTTTGTATCAATTTTTAGGTAGGTTTCATGAAGTTACTGTAAAACTTAGTGGAGTATATTACCCAACATCACCTTTAGCTTTAGGTGAACGTTTAAGAATTAGTATTTTATTTAGCGAATATAGGGAAGACCCAATCTTCGGAGTTCCTATCCATTCTATGGAAAAGAAATTTAAAAAATATTGGTCTAAGTTGCCTTTGTTGTATGGTTTAGGTACTATTTTTTATCCTAGATTAAAATTAGACAGTTTAGAAAGTGATTTAGAAAATTTAGTTGAATTTTTAGGCATCAATTGTTTGGATCAATTTCCAATAATAAAGGCAAAAATATATTCGATCTATAGTAAATATGAGAATAGGTTTAGAAGCACAAACTCTAGAGTACAGGAACCACAACAACAAGATGAAAACCCGCATTCATTCTTGAATGTTTTCGGGTTGAAGAAGAAGAAGAAGACAACTCAAACAGAAGCTGGGAGTAGATCTTCATCAACAGGTGGCAGTGGCGGCAGCAGCTTCAATGAGCTTATGGCGTACCTCAGTGAAAGCTTAGTAGTCGACAGTACTAGAGAATCGTTTGACTTAGTTCAATGGTGGAGGGCACGGGCATTAACTTGGCCAATCCTAACTCAATTGTCAATGGATATATTTTCCATCCCAGTCTCCATTATTTCATCCGAACAAGTCTTCAATACGACAGGACGAATACTTGAGGAACGCCGGAATGCATTGCAAATGGACATTGTTGAAGCCTTAGTCTGCATTAAGGATTGGGATCGTGCAGATCAACGTTTACAGGATATAATTTCACCGGCAAGTCAAGAATGGATCGATGAATTTAATATATTAACATTTAATTTCGAAGACGATCCTTCAGCTTCAAATTAAATTGTAAATTTGTAATTTGTAAATATGTATTTACTTTTGACATTGTAATTGTATAACTTTGTAAGTTTGTAAAATTTGTAATTCGTCACAAAATGATTGCACTCTTTTTTTCTTACCAAGTTTTTATCCCAATTGGGTTTTTCTTGGTAAGGTTTTTAACGAGGCAATCATGAATTACGAATTTAAAAATTAATATACAAAATTAATTTATTACATTGTGTTAATAATGTCTGTTGAATGTTGATTTTAGTTTTTATATAATTTTAACACAAAATAACTTAATAATTATAAAAATTAAAAAATATAAAAAAAAATTCTGGCATTTTGGGCGGGTTCGGGCTACCAAATATAAGCCCGCGGCCCATTCACGGGCCTTCTCGGGCTCGGGCGGGCGGCCCAAAATTTTCGGTCGGGTCGGGATTTGAGTTTAGAATTCGAGTTTTGCTAAGCTCTCAGAAACAATCACTTTTTTTTTTACTACAGTAAAATTTTCTCACATAAAATCACATCTGAACTCAAATTAAAAACTCGAACAACGAATTAAACGGACCTTAAGAGGTATTTGTCTCTTTTCCTTAAATTGAGGGCATTACACAAAGCCCAGTCCAAATTCTCATTGCCTTGGGAAGCTGCTCCAGTGCTCCTGGCGTGACTTGGAGAGCGAGGACTTGATCCCCTCTCCAGTTTTTCACGTCTCAAACTGTGTACAGTGTAAGTGTTTATGAGTTAATGTCAATTAGGTAATTACACAGAGATTATTGAATCTAATAAATATAGGAATATCTGATATTGTTTTGATTAACTAATTCATTCTTTTGTTTTGGCCATTGTTACGCACAT